CAGTTCCACTCGCGTCGGTGAACAACCACAGAGGATCAATAGAATCAAAATCAACATTTTAAGGCCAAGGTAGCGACGTCATGATACGCTTAATGTTCAGGAATGCAGCTTCTTCTCTTGGTCCCCACTTGAATTGTTTCGCGTCGAGCTTGCTGCTCGTCAGTGGCGTGAGGTGGCCGACGTACTTTTCTAATCCTGAGACGAATTTTTTCATCCATTGGACCGTGCCAAGGAATTTCCTGACACCCTTTGCGTTCTTCGGTGATGGCCACGCTCGAATTTGTTCCACCTTCTCTCCATCTGGTCGTACGCCTTCAGCTGAAATCAAATGGCCTACAAATTTGACTTCCTTCCGAAACAACTTCGTCTTCTTGCTGCTACAGTAAAGATTGGCCGCCCTCAACCTATCAAGTACCAATTCAACGTGCTTTTCATGTTCTTCCACTGAAGACGAAAAAACTACAATATCGTCCAGATACACCACACACACCGTGTTAATCAGGCCTCCCAAAGCTTCTTCCAATCGTGCTTGGTGTGTCGCTGGTGCGTTGGTTAATCCCATGGGCATCACGCACCATTCGTACAACCCCCAAGGAGTCTTGACTGCCGTAAGAGGTATATCGGCCTCACGCATTCTGGTTTGAAAAAAGGCATTCGTCTGATCTAAGATTGAAAAAACTTTACCCGATGCTACAAGCCTGACCAGCTCATCCACCTTGGGCAAAGGCGAACGGTCCCTGACGGTCACGCTATTCAAGGTGCGGTAATCACATACCCACCTTGGAAGTTCCGTAGGGTCCTTCTTGGGGATGATGAGACTTGGCGAAGCGTATTGACTGGTTGAACGTCGTAGCCTCCCAGCATCCACATGTTGTTGTAATAACTTGTTCCATGCACTCATGTACTTGGCCGGATAAGGGTATTGGCGTTCATTCACGATAGCGTTGGGATTGGTTAGAACTATCTTGTGCCTAATTTTTGACGCTGGGTCTTGTAATCGCTCGGGAAAGGTACCATCTACAAATTCCCCCTGAGCTTCTGCTGCGTCTGAAATGGCAGGGATGTCAACCGGAAATACATCTTTATAACACTCTAAAAAGGCATCCTCTAATTCTTTCCATGGATCTCGAGGCTTGCATCTGTGAGGTTCATTGGTCAATTTCAACGAATCCTCCCACGTCTTCCACTTCTCACTCTCATCACTCTCCGCGATCACTGCTTGACTCTCAACACGAGCTTCCTCAATCTCTTTCTTTAATTGCAGTTCATGACAATAATCTAACATGCTGACACTTGATAAATCACTAACCACAGATCTCTTTGCACAGGAAACTGACAACTGGTGACGACATAAGAAAGGCGCGCCAAGGATCATGTCATAAGAATTCCCCAAAGCCCCAATCTTCATGTACGTACGATCAAAACTCTGATTCGATTGAGGATGAATTAATGACGCTACGGTGAACTCGGTG